GTTCGTGTTTAAAAGTGTATTATTAGTTTTGTTATTTTCCATAATTCTGATTATTTAACATGGTAGCAGAGCGTGGTTAATTTGAGAAAATCAGTTTATGGAAAAAGTGATAGAAAAGTTAAAAAGAACGAAGTGAAGAAAATAAAGACTTAATAAAAGAAAGAAAAATTGAAACATTGAATTAATTGAATAAAGTGCTTGAAGAAAACGCACAAGAAACAAGACGAGTCAATATGGCAGACGAATTCAAAATAACGTTACCAATTTTCGATGGAAAAGATTATAATACATGGAAGAAGAGAATTATGGTATTTTTGAAGATGAAAAAGTGTGATGAAATTATTAAACGAGAAAGAACCGAGATGGATAATGTAGCCGTGTGGAATGAATTTGATCTGAAAACGATGAATTATATATATAGTGCATTATCAAATAGACAAATGGAACTTGTTAACGATGAATTAACAAGTTATGGAATAATCAAGAAATTAGACAGAATTTATTTGCGTGAATCAACTTCATTGCAGATTTGTATAAGAAATAAATTAGATAAAATTAGGTTAAAAGATTATACTGAAACAAGTGAATTCTATGGTGAATTTGAAAAATTAATAATTGAATTGAAAAATGCCGGTGCTGTGGTAACTGAAAAAGAAAAAGTGAATTATATGTTGAGAACATTGCCAAGTTCATTGAGTCATATTGGAGACTTAGTTGATGTTTTACCTGAAGGAGATAGAACTGTAGATTACATAATTAATAAAATTAAAATATATGAAGATAGAGAAAAGGATGAAAATCAAAATTCAGCAAATAGAAATGGAAACTCAAACGTGTTTAGAAGTGAGGTGAAAAGAGACAGAACGTGTTATAAATGTGGTAAATCGGGACATGTTCAGTACGAGTGTATGAGTCAAGGCAGCATTGGAAGTTACTGGAAAGGTTCGAGGGGAAGTTGGCAGCAGCAAGGGCGAGGAGGCGCACGTTATCATCCTCAACAGCCGCGAGATGGATACAGTCTGAACAGAGGCAGCGGCGGCAGTTTCAGAGGAGACGGTGGCAGTTTCAGAGGAGATGGTGGCAATTTCAGAGGAGACGGCTACAGTCTGAACAGAGGTAGTGGCAATTTCAGAGGACGAGGCGCTGGTCAACGAGGAAGAGGCTGTCAACAACGGCAAGATCGTCAATATGCAGATCGAGGAAAGATAAGTTTCGTAACCGAGGTTGAGAAAAAAATAGGTTACAATGTTGAGGTAAACGAATCTGTAAATAAATTAGAATGGGTTCTGGATAGCGGTTGTACAGATCATATTATAAATGAAGATAAATATTTTGTAAGAGTCAATCATTTGAATAATCCGATAAGTGTTAAAGTTGGAGATGGTCGCATAGTTAAAGCAACAAGTGTAGGAGATATTGTAACTAAGTTTGTGACAAATTTTAATGAAACAGAAATTGAGTTAAAAGATGTATTTTTTGTGAAAGAAATGGATAGGAATTTAATGAGTTTTGGAAAAATCGCGAACAAAGCCAAGATTGTTTCAATGGGAAGTACTTCAAAGATTT